TCCCCACTCACAGTCCAGATATCACAGCGCCGTAGACATGACATAAAAGGTAACCTTGCGGTTTCTGGTTCAATTAATATCCCGTTCCTAGCGCGAGCCAAGTAATGAGAGAACCAGCTTCCATCACAGGAAGAAGAAATCTTTTGTATGAAAGCTTTGCTGATCACAGGCTTCCTTTCATGGAGTTTGACTGTGGAGACAAGAAACGGCTAATTTTTATGATGCAAAGAGGCAAAAATTGGTCAAGGGAAGGATAAAAAACCCTTTACCTGTGTTTTAACATTGTTTTACTTTTTTGCTGTCTGTATAGCGTTTGGGTAATGGTGTCGTGTCCCATTTGATAGATGTGGCTTTAATCATTGTAATAAAAAAATGCTTTGTAAATTGCCTAGAGTAGCAATATATTATAACACCTTATGGTTCAAATTTCAACTGTGGCGGACTTTTTAATAATGTGACCTATTGAGGACTTTGCCACTGCTTAAACGTTTGTTGGGTAATCATGTTTCTTTTGGAAGGACAATATGTGTATGAACAAATGTATGTGTGTGTGTGTGTGTGTGTGTGTGTGTGTGTGTGAGTTTGTGATTTTAGGCCGGTATGTGTGTGTTTCTGGAGGTGTGTGTGTTTAGGGGTAGGGGGATGGGTGGGGGGGAGTCGCTGTGGGTTGTTACCTGTTTGTGTCCTATCCACGTTGCCTTCTGCCAAGTCCTTACCAATGCCTTTGTGGTTCTACCTATTGTACGACTTCTTGTGAATTTCATTTTTTATGTGCAATTCTCATCAGCCTCACCATGCCAATAAAGGGAAATGTGTTTGAAAAAAAAAAAAAAAACTTTCTTTCTTTTAGTGGCTTCCCTATTATCTTCCTTTCCCTGTGATGAATGTCCCTTCATCAAGCCCTGTTGTACCGCTTTCAGTCAGCGCCGTGGCATGATTATGGTTTGTGCTATCTCTGATTACTATCAAGAAGACATCTTTGAAGTTCTTAAGAAGGAAGATTCAAAAGTTATGAAAACAATGCATGCTTTAAATGTGGATTCACAATAAATTCATTATCCCCTCCCTCCTGCGCTTATATATCAAAGTATTCAATGAAAGCTGACTGACGCAGGAGAAATGACACAAGCCCATCCTCAGCACATCTGTCTCCCTCTGAAGTTTCTCCCCTAATAAAGAAACTCGGCTTAATTCAGAGCAACTTCCCTCTTTGATATTCATATCACCTGGGAGAGAACACTGTAGTCTTTGTCTGTGTCCACAACTTGACTCCACACCATGAGTCTGCAAGTTAATTAAAAAGTTGGGGGGAACAATTTCATTAACACGATGGAGGGCTATAGTGAGTTGATGGTGTGCTTGATATTCAATGGGGCTTCATTATGATTATAACAACCCCTCCTTTTCCTTTAACACACACACATCGTAGCCTTGGAGCTGGGATCACACCAGGAGCCCTCCACTATGTCCTTTTTTTTCACTGGCGCAAAGAGAAATATGGGAAGAATGTGCATTAAACTTTAAGGTTGGGGGTCTGATTGTGTTTTTTATTAAGGCCGCTGTTTAGCCCCGGAGAAGAGAGCGGCTGGCTTTCATTTCGGCTTGGCTGGCGCATTACAGCGGGAGGTCTCCTTCTGCTTGCCCTTTCCACAGAATGAAACTGTCCCTGGAAATCTCTCTGCTCCCTGTCGGCTTTTTCTCTCCCACCTCTCTCTTTCCATCACGATAGGATGGCTTTTTTATCTGTTATGTGTCTTTTTTATTATTAACCAGTAGATAAGCAGCTATCTCCACTCCAGTTGGAAGTAAGTGGTAGCCTTGGAGATAATGGGGTTTGATGGGGCTGGACTCTCTGTGGGACAAACACTGAGATGTTGCCGCTGAGTTGTGTAGCTCTGTTTTTTATTTGGCATCTCGCTGTGGCTGCTGTGTCGAATGCTGTTGAAATCCTGAAAATGGCACTCACTATTCAGGCCTTTGTTTCCAGCTATGTGACAAGAATGTGTAAATGGTTAGTGTTTTTGGTGGCCAAAGCAGTAGAGAGCAGCTTGAAAATGAAAACCCTGCACAATTTTGGCAGCTCTTTTAAGGGGGTATCATCCTTCGACTGCCTGTCTCAAAATCATGTAAGCAGGTTAGGGTGTGGAGAAAGCAGTCTTCGATAATAAGATTAGACTACCTGAGACTAGTTAATTAAAGCCTGTGGGGTGGAACATGAGCAATCCTACCGGTAATTTACTATCAAGAACTCTTTTTTTTTTTTTTTTTTAATACTCTCATACGTCGAGTACAAATTTCCCTTCTATATAAATAGAGAACAACGGACATTGAAGCAACAACATTTATCTTGATTCTATCACAATAATTAAAGTTAGGTGACACTGATTATCTCTGACTACAAGGCTGGCAGAGAGAATAAAAACAAGATTATAGTGTGCCAAAGACTGAGGATTAGAGAGCTGTTGATGATGACAAAATAACATCAAGGACACGATGCCAGGATGTGATGCTGTGTCGCTGAGTTCTTGCCTCCAGTGTCCCTTCAAGGTTTCTCTTTGCTCAATCCCCCAAACTCCTCTTCACTTTCTGTCTTTCTCTTGCCACCTTTCTCTCTGTCCCTCCTTGTAGCCTTTTATTTTTAGAGGATTTCATGTATACGTCAAGTGTGTAATGCTAATCTGTTGCCAGGCAGAATTCTGTGCTCCTGGGGTGCTCAAGTGAAGCAAAGCCAACAAGACTTGGAGGAAGATGAGAAATCTGGAAACATCATAATATCATGACTGCCATAGCTGCAGGCAAGAGGATGTTATTCCAATCAGATTGCATGTACAAACTGGGGGATGATTGGTGGGTCTTTTGCAGTTGTCTTGCAGTGGTCACATGACCCACTGGCTCTCATTTGATCATAAGGAAAATAAACACTTCCTGCGGCGGTTTGCTGACCCATCATCTTGAATGAAACTGTGCATTCTGTCCCCTATCATCTCTGAAAGTGGAATTTGATGAATCAGAACAGAATGAACCACTAGATGTTGCTTGGCTTCCATCTACTGAAGCGCTTCTTTGTTAGTGACATTTTTTCTTTTCCCTGCAAGCCTTCCATCGTATGCCACCTTATGGGAGAAGATAATGACTGTGCTATTAAAATCGCAATCTCCCTATTCGGCATTCTAGTTTCAGCAGTTTCTGCTGTTAAAGAGTAATGAGGAACAGAAGGACAGTATTCTTCTTCCCCCCAAACTATCAACTTTGGGGACTGAATGTATTCTTCGTTAGATAATTAATGGCTACAGACAAATGGTGGTTGATTGAGCGACTCATCCCTCTATTTTCAATCACCATCTGCTGTGTGTTGCTGGCAAAAAACAATGTTAATTACCTCAAGTGTGCCCAAGACATGGTGTATTAATTAGAACAACAAAAAAGGGAAACCTAAAAGATTCAAGTGTTTTAGTATCCGTAATGTTGTGTATGTGCCTGTGCGTGTGTGTGTGTGTGTGTGTGTTCATATAGATTTTGTTGATGGATTAGCATAGGAATCAGCTCCAGAAGGCAATCTTTTGGTAATTTGCCCTTTTGATCATTTACTAACAGATCAGCGTTGGCTTGATGTACCTACCTTTACCTGCTTCCTGTACCTCGAGGCCACAGCCGGCCTTTAAGAATGCTGGGGCTGGCAACTCTCTGCCACACAGAAGGGACGTCAGCAGAAAGACGAATCTCCACTGTGACCGCGGGGACAGCCAGCTGACAGAGAGCGTTAGGGCTCCGGATGCAGACGACTGGGCTTTTTCTGTGTGCGCATTACCTGACCGAAAAAGGAAGACCAGAGAAGCGAAAAGAGACGAACCAGGACTGACTCGACGTGACAAGGCGGCAATGGCACTCTTTGGGCCAAAGCTGCGATGGCACCCTGCTCCCACACTCACAAGTGTGCAGGTGGTGAGAGTGGATTCCGAGAGGCCTGGCGTCACAGCGCCGTGGCTAACGAGCCGATGTGGAGAGCAACATGTAAATGTGATGATGTGCGCAGCATATCATCGGTTATTATTTGGCAATCATGGAGTAGCATCAATAACAATTAGCATAATTTCCCTGACTTCAGTACTTAATGACTTCATTCAAAATACTGACAAATCAAATATGCTTATTTCCTTCATACAAATGGGTCATTTACAGTCTGTTACTGACTGGATTAAGAACATCAAGTACCGCAAGTGCAGAGTAACACAAGACATGAATTACAAAATGACTCATGCTTCAGTATACATAGCGGTAAAAATCTATTGAATACTTCACTTTTGCATGCATCATTCTTTACGTTGGTGGGTCTAAACCGTTTTTGTTGTTCGTGACCTCCTTAAATAAGGTAATGTGTGAGTTGTGAGCAGTTTAATTGAAGTTATTTCCTCTTCTCAGACATTTACATTTAATTTCAATACGTTTTAGAGACCTGAAGAGGTTTCACACAGGCAGAGACAGGCAAAAGATTACTTAAAAGTCCAAAAAAATAAACATTATTTTATATTGCAGAATTTTATTTTTTCTTCTTTTAGCTCTTCACCACTCATTGGGATCCCAACCCACAGTTTGAAAACCACTGCTTTAGAAGGTATAATGCTAGCTGTCTAGTTTTTATTCATGTTATTTAAACTGTCCCATACCAGTTGGATCTGGGCTTCATAATGGCTCCATTGAAGCATTCTTGAAGAGATGGCTCGGAAAGAAAGAGAAGCTGAGTGCTCTCTCTGTGTATTCTCTCTCGCTGTCTCTCTCCCTTTCTCTCTCTATCTGCTCCATGTATTTTTTGCAGAGTGGTCCTGGCAGATCGCGGAGTTGTCTAAATCCAGCTACTTAGCCCCCACCCAACCCACTCACTCCAACACAAGGGCCA